AGCTATATAGATACCAAGTTGTATTTCAAAATAATATTAGTCCCAGGGATTTGTGACTTTTCGAAATTGCGTAAATAATTTTATAGACACGCTGACGTTTTCAAAATATATAGACTATTTTAAGCTTTTAATACGTCTTCATTCCATCCTAACTTATCTGAGTGAAATCARAAGGAGGAATATGAGAAATTGAGAAACATCAAGTTAATAATTATCAGAATTTTTCTAAAATTAAAACGATTATAATTGGGGCTGGTCACGTTTTGTGGGTAGATCGATGACTTATACAAAATGCACTGACTCAGAACCCATTCCCTCTCCCACRAAGAAAAAAATAACTAAGGTCAAAGGGTAAGACTTCRCCATCTGTGATTACTGATTAGATACAGCAAGGAATGATTTCAGATTTTGACGACTTAATAAAAATGAATAATAGAGTGGATTGAATAGATGGAAAAATTTGATAGAACATGTAAAAGAATTCAATGACCTGTAAATTACTAAAAAAAATTAAGAATACATTTTTAATAAATTAATACATGAAACTAATCGTTTGCTAATTTTAATAAAWTTTCGTTATGAGAAACATTAAAATAAATTAATCAGAATAATGATGCAACTCACAATAGGTATTGCATATAAAATCATTTTCAGAATAGGATTATGATGTATCACTTTTTCGATTTTACATTGCACGAATTCATTATTTTTAATTTGTAACTTCAGAGCAGCTTCATTGGATAAGTCTAAAAGTGTTCCATTTGTTCTTGGAATGCGATCGTTTATTGTGATAACTATCGTCCTTTTTTCGTATGACACTTTGATTAGTGTATATGGTGGTAAACTATTGTGGGCTGCATTTATCGCGTCAAATTCATTTTTCAGATAATCAATGTCACTTTCATCAGTCTGCATGTGGAATTCGCAGATTCCTGTTTGATCTAGTTATAAAATCAAGAAATTCAACTTTTTATACAGTCATATATTGTATAATAAAAATTAATAGATCAAATGCATTAAGTACTTATAGGGTTTGAGTCGAAATCATATTCCGAAGATTGTTGTTTACAAGCACCAATAAACCACCATTGAAACGATTTAGAACAATATTGAGAACAACAATCTTCGTCATCATAACATATGTCATTCAAATGTTTACACGATGAAATTTCTAAGGCATTGCAGGTTTCATCTAAAATGTATAACAACAACAAATCGTAATATCTTATAAAGTTATAAGACTTATAGCACAAAAAAAAAGAATAAAAAAAAATTTTGACTCCACGTGGATCATTTGCTTCTCGCTCGCATTCTGATTAAATGATTCTCCTGTTTGCACACTACAATTCGTTGAAAGCGTCTGCAATCTTTTATACTTACTCTTTAATAATTAATTATTGTCCTCATTACATACAAAATGTATAAATTTTCTCAGTTACCTGAAATCTTTTAACATTTCTCCCTAACCTCTTCTCTATTTTTAACATAAAATCTGTAGTGGTCATCCAAAAAAATTTGTTTTCATACTGAAAGTTGGTTTCATTGTATAATATTTGTATTTGTTTTGTTAATGTCATAATTTTATTTCCTATTTATAATAATAGTTGAGATGTCCTATAGTCACTGACTAAAATGGAAAAGATAACTATACCAATTAATGACAATTTGCATTTTTAACTGGTTATTTGAGTATTTCGAATTAATATATTAATTTTACTTAAGTACTATGAATTTGTAATAAATTATAGCAATAGTATGGTTGAGTTCGAACCACTCGAAAGTGGGGAAGATTTCCCCACAAACGTATTTTTGACGAAATAAACATTTTTATACCAATGTCATAACTAAAAGATGATTTTGTAGTGGTTCTACCGATTTAATCTAAGTGAAATAAATTTTATTTATTATTTTATTTAAAATAAATAATTTGAAAAATAAAAGTTGCAATAATGGAAATTAAATTTTTTAACAAAAAATACGATGACAATAATACTATATGTATAGTACCTATATAATAATAATATAATATACAGTTATCAATTAGTAGCGTAAACAGGCTCAAATCACATGTGTGTGCTACACTTCCATTGATATCATTATCAATTATGATTAGTTATTTTTATTAAATTTACATGGCACAGATTAAATTAATTTTAATTTCCATTTCCCAATTTCTAAAAAATATCTAAGCTACTTTCACAAAACTTATATAWATATATAACTATTAACTATATAAATTAGTTAAGGTGTCTCAACTATGGGATTTCTTAATCAGTATTCACTTATCTCAACTAAGTTTAAAAAAAAAACTTANAAAAAACTTATTATTGCATCATACTATTACGAACATATTGTAGTTATGCAATAAAAACAATTATATTTCAGAAACTCATTCTTTTAACATATATGACAAAAGAAGATCACCCTATATGTCAAGCATGYGGTTATAATCTCACTGTCGAACACATAATGACGGAATGCCTACTATATGACCAAGTTCGCTACAACCTCAACATGACCCAAACCTTGGACACAATACTTGGACCCAACCCGGATCAGAACAAGATATTCATCAAATTTCTTCAAACAATTAATTTAATTAACCTAATATAATAAAATTTTAAATGTGTAATATATGTATAACAATATGAATTATTTGTAACTATTGCTAATGGCCTATGCTCCCGAGCTGTATTCTAAAGATCAATAAAAAAAAAAAAAAAAAATCTTAACAACATATTGATGATAAATTTACATTTTATAAAATATAAGACTTTAAAAAAAAACGACCATCAGCCCTTGCCCCTCGTCCCTCATTATACAACAAATTTGGTGGATAATAATGTATTTACCTGAAATATTAGTGATCAAAATTAACGCAATCAAAACAAACGAAAGTTTCTTCATTTTTTCTACTTACAAATTTCATCGTACCGCCTCTTGTTTCAATGTGAATTAAACAATGAATACGTAATAATATTATTTTTTGTTTTATCTGAAATGAGATAAAATAATTAATTACTAGTGCATGATAATAAGGATATACTTATTTATATAATTTAATTTTGTATAATATAGTGGGTACAATTTGTGTGRAATAAGCAACGTGCGATAAGGCGATAAATATGTCATTGATGTCAACTGTCCGGTTTACTTACTACTGTTTATATAATGTGAAAGTAAAACGTAATTTAAACTTTAATTATTATAATAGAAATTTAATTTTATAAATACCTATTTAAAATGTTAACTATTTTATTTTTGTTCAATAGCAATATAATATTTGTTCTTTGAATTAGATTGATTATTTGAATAAACGTTTTGTTATTTAAGACTTATAATTTATATTCAGACTTCAGGGATATATTATATATTTATATCCTAGACATTTTTTTTGGTTTCCAGTCTGATCTTATATTTAGAGATGCATAAAAGTCTTCCCGAAAGGAGATCTGGTGACCGAAGAACATTATTCGTCAAAATGATGAGTAAACAACGATCATTGACTGAAAAATGAAAAGTGAAAACCCTATATTGTTCACGCGATCTACTTGTGTGATCAATCAACCCATTATACTACTTCTGGTGTCGCAACAGTGATTTTTCGTTTGTATTCGAAGGATTTCATTACGCCACAATTCGATGTAATATAATTATATTAATATAGCGTGTGCCTTTAACTATATTATCAATTGCCAATTTTTATTATTTATATTGTATTCTGTTTCATTTTATATTAATTTAATTTAATATAAAATATTATATTATATCAATTATAAAGTAGTTATATTAAATCGTACTATCGTATAGAAGGGTTACAATATATAAAAAGGACACAATAATATATCTGTTTATTTATTATGATAAATATTATATAGACTAGTGTTTCAAAATAAATTCTAAATTAAAAAAATTGATTTAAAATTTAGGCACATGTGTATCAAAGTTTTTTTAAGCTAAAAATATATGGTAAATATAAAATAACTCAGTAATTGTGAGTATATTAAAAAACACTACATGCAATTTATATATTATTAGACATTAGTCACATTAAGTCATTAAATATATTGTTATTCGATCGGTAATAAAAGAGTGGGCTTTATCTAAGTTCAAATTTATTGATAATTGTAATCATATATAATTAAAACGAATCCATTTAAGATTCTTTACGTCTCTGTTTCATGGCGTATTCATTTCACAGTATTATATTGTTACTAATGATATTATATTATACAGTTTAAATTAATAAAACCATTTAAACGTTGAATATTTGAAGCAAAAATGAAGGAAACTACTGTTGTTTGGACCAAACTATTTCTATTCCTCATAATATCAGGTGAGTTCGCAACTACTTTTTTTCAAACAAAATAGTCGTTTTTTCTTTAAAAAAAAACCGAAATCGTAGAAGCGTTCAAACGTGCTATAGAAGAAATTATCTGTTGAAGTTTGTCTATATCTGAGTTTTTACTCTTTATATTACGGTAGAAACGAGTTATATTTCGTTATTGATTACAAATAGTGTGGAACTTTCTAATGATAACACAGAATTATATTTAGACATCAAAAATAGTTTCAAACCATTCAAARAGAATTTGTACTTTCTATGTTCAATACTTTACCTATATAACCTATTGGCTATTTGCATTAAAATTAAAAGTTAAGAATTTGCATAAGTAAAAATTGACTTTTAAATTTATGGGAGGCAGCAATTTTTATTAAGTAAATTTGGAGAGGATGAGTCTATTCCTATCTTGATTAAACTGTATTCTAAAAAACCTAAACATATTTTCAAATATTTAATTTACTATAGGGATTAATAATACTGAACAACAAATAATAATTACTTTATTCAACAATTATTAGTGTATTTAATATATTGCTGATTAAGCCTTGGTGCTACTACTATTAAAATATATATTTTTTTTTGTTTATACAGCTGAACCTCTCGGTCTTAAAGCAGAACTCAAGGAATGCAAGCAMCTCGGAAACAATTCGTGTGTGAGTGACAGTGAATGTTGTTCTGGTTATTGTTATAGGGAACCCGGTTGGGAATTGGGAGTGTGTAAAAGGATGCATACTCCTGAAAACTTAGACGAATCAAATGAAGAAAAAAACAAAGGAATAAATGGCGGAGTAGATGACGTTTGTAATTATACTTATATATTATTTTTAAATATTGGCTATTGCAAAGGCTATTTGGCTTTAATGTAATTTATGAATAATTATAATATATTACATAGTAAATGAGTTGTTGTTTATTGTCGTTTTTTATGTGATTTATAGTCGAAAGAGGCACTTGTGCGTATTACGAAGCAAAAGATATTACTGCAAACGGTGATATAGTCAATGACAGCGAAATGACCGCAGCACACCAGACTTTGCCGTTCAACACGGTGGTTAAAGTGGAGATTATGGGTAGCAATGTGGTGGTCAAGATTAATGACCGCAAGACTGCGTCTGATGGAAACATTTTGCTCTTATCTCGTGCGGCGGCTGAGAGTATAAATATCGATGAGAATACTGGCTCGGTACAATGTCAATTAAAAATTTTGACCAAGGTGAGCTGCACTCCAAATTTAGGAAACACGTGTGTACATAACCACGAATGTTGTTCACGGAATTGTTTTAAGGCAATGTATTCAGAGGTAGGGTTTTGTCTACCAAAATGATTTGACGGAAGTCGAGTTGCAGTCCTGTTTAGTCACGTAGATTAGCCGGTGTAAATGAAGCAGTATTATAATCCATAACTTAAAGATTCAGTTCCCACCGTTGAGTTATAAACTATAATAAAGTAAAATCGTGAACTATTTTAGAAATAATAACTAAGTATAATTATTTCTTTGGAAATTGTCAAGTATAATGTAATCGTTTTATTTAAAATAAAAACTATTATTATATAAGTATATTAGCATATTCTATTCTACGAGTAGTTATCATGTTTTTTTGTGAAACATTCTTCTTACGTATTATTTTAGATAATTGTACAAAACATGTATAAGTATAATAAGTATGTGTAATTTTACTATATGCAGTAGTTGCCAAACATTTAATTGTAATGGATGTGTCATATTTGAATTCAATGATAAATCATTGCATACGAAAAACAATTCTAACCGGAGACGTTGTGTCATCCTGCTTTATACTTGTATAAATTGTCAAATTTAATAATAATAACAAAAAAAAATGAAAATCGATAATATATTTTCGACCAACTTTTAGGTGGACTGTTTTTGATTAAGGTAGAAAAAATGGTTTGGAATCTTTTATTAAAATTTCTGAATATTAGCAATGAAAAGAAAATATTTTACGAATTTCTAACTAAAAAATAATTATCAAAATTCAGCACTTTAAAAATGTATATTTTTACTATAATATATAATTAAAGCTGTAAATTTTTTTTTTAAAGAAAAATATAATAAAACATTTGGTGAAGCAGGTTAACTTCAGAAACACTTCAATCATAGGCGTGCGCACGGGGGCACCAGAGGCAGCATAATATGCTGCGCCTGAACTTTTTTAGGGGCTACCGTGGTTAGATATATTGTATGATGGGCCTTAGTAAAATTATATTTCTACAAATGATGACCATTGTAAATAAAATAATCATATATATTTTTTGGTAAATGAAAACTATAGATAAATCATATTCATAAATATTTAGTATAAAACGAATCAACCTGTCTACTATAAAAAAAATGACATGATTTAAAATGTTTAATATTATTATAATTTATGGTAAAAAAATAAAAAAATCAATATGGTTTTATTTTTAATACCCTATTGTGAAAAAACTAAAACTATATGGGTCGGTTTAACAGTGAATTTGGAGAATGGCCGGATAAATCTCTTGCTGCCTTTGAAATCGAAGTCTGCGCCCGCCTATGTCTTCAATTATATTCTATTTAGTATTTGGATATATCCTTACTCGGCTACTCCTGGATTTCTTAGCATTCAATGACATTTTCCTATTGGCTGAGACATTTCTTCCCAATTCGATAAATATTTTTTTATTAGGAATTAAGATATAATTCACGCCATGCATTTTGTTATCCAATTTAAGGTACAAATATTTATAACAACTAAATTATCTAGAATATTAACAAAATTATCCAAATAGGTACAGTGCAGCTTTTCAAGCTAATGAATCTATTAAAATGTTGAATTATAGAATAAGAACTTTCCGTAGTAATTTAGATGATGGTGAAAAGTTAAAAAATGAATGCAAAAGTTTTATAATGAATATATTTTTAATTCATTAGTGTCCGTATGAGTAATTTGATAAATTAATGGAATAGGTACTAGTTGGGTTAAAATTTATGTTTTTTTTTAACTTCTATTATTTAATTTTTTTAAATTTTTTATTGGAAAACGATCCCTCTCTAGCCTCATGATATCCAAATCTGGAATCAAGTCAAACTATCTTATTTAAGACCTATAAAAGCCTTCCAATCCATATGTTTCTGATAAATAACCGGAGCCCCATGGTATATGACCAATGATGCATAACATAAGGATCTACAAATCTCCACAGTCAATGAAATAGCAACTTGACACTACAAACAATTCCACTCAAAACGCCATTCAAACCAAAACCCTCTTATTTATCGTATATCCTYTTAAACCATCCCCAGCCACCATCCAAGAAGATTAAAAAGAAAGAGACGCCCTTGATTAATAAAATAAATAAGTGATTTTTCCATATTGAACCCACCAAATTAAACAGGATGCACTGTTGATGGACGGTTTCCCCTCTCAAGTCAAACAATTCATCATCTTCTTATTACTATTATTATCCAATTAACTTATTGTGCTTTATGTATTTCGTAGATTGTAAATATAACTTTTTTTTAAATATTCATTTTATATTTATATTTCTAATTAATGTTCAAATCATTTGATTTTGGCTTATATTTATATTGTTTGATACATTCTGTATAAATAATGAAATTAAAGTGGCTTGGCGTGGCGCATTGGCTACTACCAATCGCGGAATGCGGCTGGAAGTAAATAACGGCCACAGCTACTAGCTCCCGGATGGGTGACCACTCGGGTTCATAGTAGTTAAAAAACCTTGCCATACATACACGTGTTTGCTACCTACCGTAACAACCGTAAAAACAACCTACCGTACCAAAACCATAGCCCTACATA